GAGCAATAACCAAAACATAACAAAGAAAAGATCACAGTGGGAAAGATTGATGGTCAAAAAGATAGAGCAACTCACATGGAAAACAGATTGCAAAGCAAACAGGGCACTTGTCATTTTTAAGGGAAAAGCGAAAAACACCAATATCAATTTCTTGGAAGCTCTTTGAGCTTAGTCAACAGGCATGATTGCAATTCTTGTTGGTTACAGGTTGGACCCAAAGAAAAAGTAGTGATGCAAAAAAATCCGATCGATCATTTGCCCCATGAACTTGATCTTGAACTCACTAAATTATCATGATCTGAGGTTTTGATCTGAAAATTATGAGTGTGTTCTGGTTAAAATCCTTTAATGATTAGGTCAAATAGATCTTTTTGGGTTTTTTTGTGTTGCTGAGCAAGACAATATATAGAATGTTGATTATATAATTAAAAAAATAAATTTATGTTTGAATCATTTTTTAATTCTAATAAGATTAAATTTTTATTTGTCATTATTATGTTTACAATTGTAAATTTTTTTTGTCTTTTATTAATTTAAAAATATATAAAATATTAATATAATTAATAAAAATATATAAATTAATTATGAATTATAAATGGATATTTTTGATAAAATGTTATGTGAAAGAAGTTTGTAAGAACCATCATTAAACGAGAATATCTTTGTAGTTTAATTAATCACATCATATTTATAAAAAACTTTTCATGTTATGATTTAAAAGTGTAGAATTCGACTCTATCTTAACATTTAAAAAAAAAAAAAGGATTGTTAAACAGAACTTAGTCTTCTAATGCCAAAATTTGAGGAGCGTTAATTGTATAGGCCCAACCAAAAGACTTAATTAGGGGTGAAAGTAAAGCAGCTACAGATAATACGTCCATCAAAATGGTCCAAATTAAGCCAACCAAAGGTTGGATTTTAGTGAAGACTTTAGACACACAAAATGACGAATCAAAAATGGTCCATTAAGTTGTAGGGCCAAGGGTCTTTTATATTTATTCATCCGTTGATAAAGCTTAAAACAATGAACAGCTCAGAGGAAAATGACCCATTAATCTCAGATGATGCATGCCTATTTTCTGATAGGGAAAGGACTAAGGGCTCTGTCATGTGCTGAGGAGTGAGGAGTCCTGTATCTTCTAGGGGAGACCTATGATTTCGACATTTCCTTCCTCCAATACATGCCGGTACTCAATAAAATCTAATTTAGTAATTCTAAAAAATCCATGTTCACAAAAGGAAATAAGGAATTACTAATTCAGAAGTACTATTTCCAAAGGTAGGTGAAAGCAGATAATTGCTACCTAACCAGCTACTAAAGTACCAATCTGATTCATTTTCAGCCAAAAAAAACAAAACATGAATGAGATGTCTTTCTCTCTTTTTTTTTTT